TTTTTTTTTTTTTTTTTTTTTTTTTTTTTTTTTTTTTTTTTTGTCTTTTTTCCGTGTCCGGCAACGGATCGCAACCCTCAGTGTTGCCCCCGTACCGGACCGGGGACCGGCAACGGGATCGCAACCCTCGGCGCTGCTCCCGGGCCTCGCTCAGCCAGTGAGCAGGAACCGGTCTGTACATGGGATCCGAACCCTCGGACGGGAGCGCCGCCGCGCTTCCCAAGCAGCGCACTATCCAGTGCGCCACCGGGCCGGCCCTGTCCCCAATATTCTTAAGTTTCAAAATTATGTTCCTTGATGTCAGTCTAATTTCATCTATTTTGCTGAACACTCAGTGGGTCCTTTCATATTGGAAATCCTTGTCGTCCATTCTGGGACATTTTCTTGAATTGTTTCTTCATTGATTTACACATTTTTCTGTTTTCTTTTTCTAGAACTCCTAACTAGATTTTGAACTTCCTGTTTGGTCCTTTAATTGTATCTTTTCTCTTTTGTTTGCCTTTTAACCCTACCTTTTTTTTTTTATTTTTATTTTTTATTTTTATTTATTTATTTTTTTTGTCTTTTGTCTTTTTTTCCGTGTCCGGCAACGGATCGCAACCCTCAGTGTTGCCCCCGTACCGGACCAGGGACCGGCAACGGGATTGCAAACCTCGGTGTTGCTCCCACGCCTTGCTCAGCCAGCGAGCGGGAGCCGTTCTGTATGTGGGATCCGAACCCTCGGGCGGGAGCGCCGCCGCGCTTCCCAAGCGGCGCACCATCCAGTGCGCCACCGGGCCGGCCCAACCCTACCTTTTAGGAATCTTCCTTATCTTTATTTCCTAAAGTGACTATTAAATTTCAAACTTTTAATCTCCAATGCTCCTTTCTTTACTAATGTGCATATGTATACGCGGATGGGGGGTGGGGGGTGTTTCTCAACTCTAATGTTAGAACCTTCCCAAGTATTTGGTAATCCTGACCTATCTATTCATGGCTAAGGATTAAAGCTTTGACCAAAAGCTCCAAACCTGTGGGTGGAGCCTGTCAAGTCTGTGTCACTAGCTGGGCTGCATTAGTAGCTGGTCTGGATTTTGAACGCAGGGGCTCCCTGTTCCACCAGCTGTGTACCTCATTGTCTAGCCGTTCCAGGACAGTGAATGAGCACATGGGCTCTGATGTGGGGTAAATAGCTAATGCTCACAAGTCCTGGAGACATCAGGAGGATGGGTTCATCCTCCTGGCTACTCCTGAGTGCAGCTCCCCAGCCAATCTCACTGCTCCCCGTATCTGTAATACAAAGGGATTGTATATGGTGCAGGCCTCAGGCTGCTTCTATTCATGGTGGAAAGCAACAGGCAGCCTGCAGGTAGCAGCAGATCACATGGCAAGAGGAAGCAAGAAAGAGAGAGAGGGGAGGTGCCAGGCTCCTTTTAAACAACCAGATCTTGCGGGATCTAATAGAGCAAGAACTCACTCGCTACCCCCACCCCTCAGGGAGAACATTAATCCATTCATGAGGCCTCTGTCCCCATGACTCAAACAGCTCCCAAAACTGCCAAATTGGGGATCAGACTTCCATATGAGTTTTGTGGGGACAAAACATCCAAACTCTATTATTCCACCCCAGCCCACAAAACTCATGTCCCTCTCTCATACAAAATACAATCATTCCATCCCAACAGTCCCAAAAGTCTTAGCTTGTTCCAGTACCAACTTAAAAGTCCAAAGTCTAAAGTCTCATCTGAGACCAAAGGCAAAACTCCTTCCAGCTGTGAACCTGTAAAAATCAAAACCAAATTCGTCTACTGCCAAGATATACTGGTAGAACAGACATTGGGTACACATTCCCATTCCAAAAGAGAGAAATATACCAGAAATATACCAGTCAAGGAGAAATAGGCCCCAAACAAGTCCTAAACCCAGCAGGGCAGACATTAAATCTTAGAGCTCCAAAATAATCTTCCTTGACTCCAAGTCCTGGATCCTGGGCACAATGGGGCATCGGACCCCCAAAGCCTCAGGCAGTCCCACCCTCACACCTCTGCTGGGCCTCACAACCCACTAGGCTGCACTGGTGCCTGCGGCTTTTCCAGGCCAGCGTTGAACATTCACGTTGAATTCTCTATTAGTTCCCGCAAAAGGAGCCTGGCACCTCCCCTCCCTCCCCCACCATGTGATCTACTGGTACTGGCTGGCTGCTTGCCGCTATCCGCCATGAAGAGAAGCAGCCGGAGGCCCGCACCAGATGCAGCTGTTCCAGAATCCTGAGCCAAATAAACCTCTGGTTCTTTATAAATTACCCAGCCTCAGATATTCTGTTATAGCAACACAAAATGGACTGATATAAACTCCTTTCTTCAAATAATTTTGATCCATGAAGTAGAATATTAAGAATTTAAGAAATAGTTCTCATAATTTCCTGGTCTAAGACAGGCACTGAGTTAGGCACTTTATGTTATTCCTTTTATTTTCACAAAAATTTGAACAGTCGGTATTATCATCCCAGTATAACAGAAGAAAAACTTTAGTCAGATCCACTAAGTAGCTTACTCAAGGTCCTGCATAAGCAGCACTGCTGGGCTTGAAATTCTGGTCTGTCTCTAACTTTCTCATTTGCAGATGAAGACACTGAGGTCAAAGTAGACAACTAATTTGCCAGAGTAACAGGTAATTAGTAGCCTCACAACTGCCTTGCACATTTTCTTTTTATTATTTCAGGATCAGAAGTTACATAATTTCCAGTGGCATTAATATGTAACTGTTTTGGTTTGTTAACAATATCGTGTGTGAGACGGGTGGGTGGGCAGAGAGATGATGGGAGAGTTAAATAACAACCCAATTTACAAGGCATTCCAGATATAAGCACCCTTTAATTGAACAAGAATATCATCCCTATAGTCTGATAAAGCTCAAGTGATATCATGCCAGCTGGTATGAAATTTAAAATTTTTATGCAAATAGTCTGAAAATCACAGATTTCCTAATCAAGCTCATTTTTATGCTTCTAACTCTGCCTTTCCAGCCTACTATTGAAGTATCTCTTCCCCGCCCCCAGCTGTTTTCCACTTTTCCTGTGATTAAAAAATATTTCCCTTGGTAACCATTTTCGTTGGTTACTTTCTTGGCTGATTTTCCACACAAAGAACTGAAAGGCACTTATCCCCAAGGGGAGCATTCATTTTAGATTTTACTAAGAACTCTGCTAACATTTTTCAACATTCCCTTCTGTTCTTTCTTTGTTTTCAAAGAAAGCTCTGATTTTGTTTCATTTTCAGCTGGAGACTTAAATGACAGCAAGCAAAGCCTACTTAGTTTAGATTTCAAGGTAAAAAAGTTTTAAATTTTAAGTTTCTACTAAAGCATGTGGAATGGTTTTAATATTGGGGCATTTTATGTTGCAAATATGTTTAAGCCTTGAGAAAATTAGCTCTTTACTAATAGATTTTAAATGTTCAAAGCATGCATTATTCTGTTTGTTTTTTCAGAATGATTATTTCCCATGTAAAACTTTATAGAATTAGGATTAAATTATTTTTATATGTTTAGATAGAAGTACATGCTCAACAGAAGTATAAATCGGTTGAAAATTTCATTCTTTCTCAATTTTTAAGTCCTAAAAGAACATAAATGATTAAAAATGTTTTTCATTTTAAACATGGTTTTTAAAGTTTACTTAAGACAATTGATGAAAAACTTTAAATGGAGAAAAAGCATAAGTTAATCAAGGTTTACAGATGATATTTAATGTTGGGATAAACACAGTAAGTGCTAGAAAGAAAAAAATCTGCTTGATAAAAATGATACTGTGATCAGAGTAACATAAAATTTAACCTCTAGAAATATATTCACTCAATTATAAAGTTTGCTTATTAAAGTAAATATTAAAGACAAATCAAAGTTCTGTAAATTACTGAAAATAAAAAATTCCTAACATCAATTATAAAATTATTATGGAGAGGCCACTTTGTAAAATTGATTTAAACATTTCAATGAGACTATTTAGATAATGATTTTGTCAAAATTAAGATAGCTTTGTAAATTTATTTCTTTCTGTATATATCTATTTAGATTCTGGATAAGTAAAAGTCAATCAATTTGGGGGTGAAGAAAGACAGACTAAGAGAGGTGTTTTCCAAGAAGATACCAGGAGAGAGGGGTGTGCTCATTGTGGCCATAGCTAGTATCTTCTCTGCTAAGCACTTGCTCAGGCATTACCCTGGGGGTGGTTGTCTACAGGAGGCCCAAGGACCCAGGATACCTGAGACCCTCACAGGGGTTTATCTCCAGAGCCTTCAAGTCCAGGGCCTGACTCCTCATGACAGGATGGAGGATCTGCACAAGAGAATGTCAACACATTTTATGCAATGCAAAGCACCTGTTGTCCATCAGAGCCCACTGGCCCTGACACATGGCAAATTATACTTCTATCCTGTCTCACAGTTCAATTTTTCATACTGCTTTCCTCTGCTGCTATTGCTATTCCTTTCCAACATACCACCTTGCTCTGTGAACTGACTTATGATTTCAGGTGTCAGTCAGCTAAGGGATTTGCTCCTACTGTACATTTTGTATGTTAGCTTTTCTGAAACTAAAGTAGATTACAAGTTGTTCAAATATAGTTTCATTTCAATGACCTACAGTAATGGATTTGAAATGATTGCACTAATTAATGTACATACATTCTGAACAAAAGTTTATATGCTGAAGTTAGCTGATATGAAGATACATCAGAGGCTGCTGTTTGTTGAGCTAAGGAGACATGGTGGCAAACTGGAATATGAACCAAATGCAACCTGAATAGAGGAGGATGATTCTGGCAGCTGCAGTTATAAAAAGAACGACTGCAATTCAAGAGGACACACTGAGCAGACATGGTGTCCTCTTCTCCTCTGACTAAATCCCTAGAAATAATGGAAGATATATTACAAACCAATAAGTATGTGAGTATATAGCTGCACTTGGAAATAAGGGGAGCTCCTGATGAGACAGAAACTGAGGAGTCCTTCACAAATGAAGAGAAGACGGAAATGAATTTGAAGAAGGAAAATGTAGACTTGAATAGGCATGGGAGAGAACTGAGTAAACAGTTTGTATGGGAAAGAAAGAAGTTTTTAATTTAAAAGATCCCAAGAAGGATACATTTAAACAACAACAACAATCTATACCTAGGCACATTATAGTGACACTTCTGAATATCTAAGATGTGTTGAAAAATTGAAAAATGTCTATAGAAAGAAAAACAAAAAAGGATTCCTGCAAAGGGATGAGAATCAGGTTTAAGTCAAACTTCTCACCAGCAACACTAAATGTAAGAAAACAACAGGCCAAACAGATACATAGACCAATGGAGCAGAATAGATAATTCAGAAAGAAATCCATATGCCTACAGCCAACTGATTTTTGACAAAGGAGCCAAGAACATACTTTGAGGAAAAGACAGTCTCTTAAATAAACGGTGCTGTAAAATTGGAGATACATATTTGGAAGAGTGAAATTAGACCTCTATCTCTCATCATATACCAAAATCAGCTCAAAATGGATTAAAGATTTAAATGTAATGCCCGAAACTATAAAACTTCTAGAAGAAAACTTAGGGGAAACACTTTAGGACAAAGGTCTGGGCAAAGACTTTATATATGAATAATACTTCAGAAGCACAGGGAACAAAAGCAAAAATTAACAAATGGGATTATATCAAACTAAAAAGTTTCTGCACAGCAAAGGAAAAAATCAACAGAGCAAAAAGACAACCTGCGGAGTGGAAGAAAATATTTGCAAAATGTGCATCTGACAAGGGATTAATATCTGTAATACAGAAAGAGCTCAAACAACTCAATAATAAAAAACAATCCAATTAAAAAATGGGCAAAGGAACTGAAAGACATTTTTTGAAAGAAGACATACAAATGGCCAACAGACATATGAAAAAATGCTCAACATTGCTAATCATTGGAAAAATACAAATCAGAACCACAATGAGATATCATCTCAACCCAGTTAGAATGGCTATTATTGAAAAGAGAATATAGGGCTGGCCCGGTGGCGCACTGCTACAGTGCGCTGCTTGAGAGCGCGGTGGCGCTACCACCGAGGGTTCGGATCCCACATACGGACCGGTTCCTGCTCACTGGCTGAGCAAGGTGTGGGAGCAACACCGAGGGTTGCGATCCCGTTGCCGGTCCCGGTCTGGTACGGGCGCGACACCGAGGGTTGCGATCCGTTGCCGGACACAAAAAAAGACAAAAAGGAAAAAAAAAAAAAAAAAGAAAAAAAAAAAAAAAAAAAGAAAAAAAAAAAAAAAAAAAGAAAAAAAAAAAAAAAAAAAGAAAAAAAAAAAAAAAAAAAGAAAAAAAAAAAAAAAAAAAGAAAAAAAAAAAAAAAAAAAGAAAAAAAAAAAAAAAAAAAGAAAAAAAAAAAAAAAAAAAGAAAAAAAAAAAAAAAAAAAGAAAAGAGAATATAACAAGTGCTGGCAAGGATGAGGAGAAAGAAAGAAAGAAAAGAAAAGAAAATGTGGTATATATACACAATGGAATACTACTCAACCATAAAAAAGAATGAAATGCTTCCATTTGCAACAACATGGATGTGCTAGGAGAAAACTATGTTAAGTGAAATAAGCCAAGGACATAGAAAGAAAAACCACATGTTCTCACTCATATATGCAAGCTGAAAAAGTTGATCTCATAGAAGTAGACAGTAGAACAGTGGTTAGCAGAGACTGGTAGGGGGAATAGGATGGAGGGAGACGGAGACAGGGTAGTTAGTGGATACTGAGTATTAGAGAGATAGGAAGAATGGGATCTAATGTTCTATAGTAATACGGGGAGACTACAGTTAATAACAAAGTACGGCGTATCTAGCTAGTCAAGATGATGTTGAATGTTCCTAATACAAACAAATGACAAATGCTTGAGGTGATGGATATACTAAGGACTCTGATATGATTATTGCACACAGTATGAATGTACCCAAATATGATACTGTACTCCATAAATATATACAATTATCATGGGTCAATTAAGAAAAATAAATTTAAAAGGGGGGGGGGAGAAACAGTGAATAGAATAGTGGTTACCAGAATGAGGGAAAGGGAGGGGTAGGGAGGCAGGGGAAAGGTTGGTAGACTGGTATAAAGTTACGCAGTTAAAGGTAGGTAGGAAGAATAAGTTCTGATGCCCTAGGGTGATGTTAGCTAGTAATATTGTATTGTGCATTTCAAGATAGCCAGAAAAGAGGATCCTGAATGTTATAACAACAAAGAAATGATAAATGTCAGACCAATCAACCTGCTGAGAATAACTAGAAAAGATGAGAACAACAGAGCCAATATTTAAAATAGGAATGGAACCCAGAGAGGCTTGGAATAGCTTTTCTTCTGGAAGCATCTATGGATTCCAGAAGAGGTGGCTGAAAAGATTAGTGGAGCTTTTTTTTTTTTTTTTTTTGTGACCAGGAAGGGGATCGCAACCCTTGGTGTGGTGTCGCCCGCACCGCGCTCAGCCAGTGAGCGCACCGGCCATCCCCATATAGGACCCGAACCTGCGGCCTCGGCACTCCCAGCACCGCACTCTCCTGAGTGAGCCATGGGTTCGGCCCTTAGCGGAGCTTTAAAACAGCCTTCCGAGTCTAGAGAGAAACAAAAATCAAGGAATAGGGTGAAGCAAGCAGTGGAGGTTGGTGAAGAAAAGTAATGCTACTGAAATCAGCAGGCTTTGGGTTGAATCCAAAGTGTAATTATTAATTGGATATAGTGAAGCCTGTCTTCAAATCACTCAATAGATGATTGATTGGTAGTATCCTTAATTTCCTGCCCGAAGCAGATGTAAGTCTTCTATGGATAGAGAATACATAATCACAGGCTTCAACATATAATTTTCATATACAATGTCTGACACTCAATCAAAAGTCATCAGGAAAAGGCCGGCCCGAGGCTCACTCAGGAGAGTGCAGTACTGATAACACCAAGGCCATGGGTTCGGATCCTTATATAGGGATGGCCGGTGGTGCTGACAACACCAAGCCAAGGGTTAAGATCCCCTTACTGGTCATCTTTTAGGGGAAAAAAAAAAAAGTCATCAAGTATATGAAGAGACAGAACAATGTGGCTAAAAGCCTAAAGAAATAACAGACAATAGAAATAGACATACAGAGGATCCAGAAAACCTAGTCCTCAGACACAGACTTTAAAACAAACGTGATTATTATGTTCCAAAAAGTAAAAGATGAGATTAAAAATTTCAGCAGAGAATTGGAAACAATAAAAAGAACCCACTGCAATCTTGAAAACTAAAACATATAATAAAAGAAACAAGGAAGTCAGTGATG